TTCGTCTACGTCTTATCGTGGAATCCCTCCTCTAAGCGAATTAATGACAAAAGAATATGTAGCCGAGGAATGTGGATTCAGTGAGTAAATATTGTTAAAAGTTTTTCCGGTCGTTCTTACCTCCTTCGCACGCTGAAACATCCGCTAGATCACCGATTACCGATCACAGATCTTTTTCTGTTCCAATCGAAGTCCTAATGTCATTATTCATTAGTGTTTCCGGACACTCTGTAGGAAAAGATTCCCAAAATGTTACGTTAGCAAACTGCGATCTTCAATCAATATAAATATAATAGAAAAGATTTGAGTACAGTAAATATTGGCTTCCATTACTTCTACAATGTTGACAGCGAGATTCGTTTAACACAACGAATTGCAGTCAAAAACAACAATCCGAAAAAAGCGTGGAAATTTTGCTTCCAACCCTTGTTCCTTGAAAAATTCAGTAAGATAATTATCCCATCTCGCCTACAAAGCTAATCGTTGTTCGTCTCGTGTTGACTTCTAAGTTTTCCTGTTTTCCTACGAGGTAGTAGCCATAAGATCTTTTGGATGACCAAAGCAAGGGCATGCAACGCGGTACTGTGATTAGGAATATGGTCATAGCCAGTTGCAGGCCTAGGAAAAACGTGACACTACCCACCAACTGGAAGCTATCACAGGACCTTAGCTCCTTTAGTATAGGTCACGCGAAGCGATACCCTGAATAGTGTGTATTCCCCATCGCCACCTACAGGCCTAGGGAAATGGGCCGCTACTACAACTGAGCTGGAAAAAAAGCCTCTACTATACTGAATGCTATATTAGGGCCTAAGTTGGCACTAGCAATCACATATTTTTATTGTATTTCATTGTTTTTTAGCATTTTTATCTTTTATTCTTTGTTTTAATTTTTAAATATTTTTTAGCATTATGAGCTACTGTATCGGAATCACTAAAGGACAAGAGGAGCGAGAATGCTGAGTTCTGAACCAATTAATGCATTCCAAGAGTTGCGTATAGTTGAAGTTTCTTGTGGCTTAAGGCACTGGCAAGTATAAACACCTCACTCACAGCCCGCGGTGACTTCCTTGACCATTCTTGCCCATGTCATCCGGCTTATCACCCACTCTGCTTCGATAGTCCGTTATTTGGACCCCTGACATATGGGCTTGCATATCGAATGCCAGCTGCAAAAAACAAGACCAAACAGAGCCATTCGAAAGGCGGTACGATTTTGGGATTTAGATTGCATGACGCACTTTAACAAGTTAATGTGCAGTGGAACGGAAATTCATTAGGAACGAGCAGTGACCTTTCGCATTTCCATTGCTTTCTCAGAAATCCATTGATTATATACATATATATTGATCGAGCGCTTTCTACAAGGTTTTCCGCATGGTTGACACCATCAGCCTAGTTTGGTCGGAAAATTTCACCGCCGACACATTACTTTGAGGTTGCTGACAATTAACCCAAATAGCAGCCTTATCGCCCAGTTTGATAAGGCAGAGCGAGGCCGTTCAGGTGGCGCGTTCCATAAGCTTTTCCGAAGATTATCGGATTATACTATCACCTGGAAAACAACAACAAAGAAATTTCTGAAAGGATTTTCGTTTAAAAAACGACTTCCAGCAAAATGACCCGTCCACATTTTGTGCACGTGCAATTCGCTTAGCAAGTGAATTCGCTGTTCACCTTATCGTCGTCATTCGTCCGCATAGCTAACACGCTGTTTACTTGTTTACTGCTTACTCTTTCAACTCGGCACAATTCTGCACACGCTTCGTTCGCATATTACGCTTCATGAGCCAATAGTCTCTATATTGAATCTGAATTACACTGAATAAAATGAGCAGTTCTCATAATTAAAGGCATATCATCGAAAAAAAAGAATTCGGACTCCCCCTGATCTTAAAAAACTGCTATTTCGAATTTTGATTTTTTTATAACTCTGTCCAAGTCAAGCAGTATCCGGAAGTTCTTCAAGGATACTTCCTTATTCCTTATTCTAATTCTGCGACTAGTCGCTTCTCTAATTATGCTAACAATCTAATCGAATCTTGATCAAACAACCACTTGAACTCTTAAGCTCAACGTATTTGACTGTAGTCAACTTCCTCATTTTTTCATCCAAAAAAGCTTTAGCCACCATTTCAGACCTCTCCAATTCATCCCTATACAGTTTACCTTCGATGAACCTACGGTCCCTAAGTTTACCAATACTGCATGGGAACATTGTGTCCTCACCACACCCGAAAGAGTGAACGGGGTTTGCCGTACTCGAGAGGAGAGTCATTTTCATGAAGCTAAAATGAATTTCGACGAAGGGACACGGTATGGCTGTATCACTTTTGCGGAAAATCAAACTCCTCTGAAAAACGAGCACAAAATTCTTTGGTATTTTCGACATGGATTTTTGTGTTGATATGGAGCTTGCCATGAAATTTGTCACATTTTTTATCTGGACAGTTTTCCTGAAACTCTATAAACTTCGAGTTTTCGAACAAATTGTAGGTGGCTGTATCATTATTGAACGGAGTGTATATCTTGAATTACTTTACAAACTATTTTGCTTAATTTACTCATATGCTGAGGCCGTGTAGTGATAGGTGGCGCCACTTCTCAAAGAACGGTTCGGTTGCCAAATTCAGAGTCTCGCTCAGGCCATGCATGTTTCCCTTTCCCGGGATCGGTTTAATGCTACCGGACCTGTTCAAAAAGATAGTTGAAACACTACTTTGTACATTGGCTGAATACCTCATGTTACTGTATCCACCCAACTGCATTCCAACAGTTCTGAGTGGGTTTTAATAAAGTGCATAGTGTACTCAGGATAGGAGACCTTGTTCTATTCTAATTTCTCTCGAATCCATTCACCATCTTCAATCTACAGACAACTTACAAAAATCACTGCCGCTTGCAAATTCTTTCCATTTATTGAAGTTCTTTCTCGTTTATATCCTTGATGTAATGCAGTATTTTTCGACTTCTGTGATGTCGTAAAGCAGCTGGGTGAAGCTCGCCACCTACAATATCAACAAAATACGACCCCCCCCCGACCCGGTGGTACAGTTGCAGCATCGGATTGACCCTGCCTGCAGCTATCATCAGACAAGGTTGATCGGCACGTTACTTCCAAAAATTCCCAAAGTGAACGAGGTCGTGGTGTAAAATTCCATTCAAGACTTAGGAAACCTTTTGAGTGGCTGGGATGTGGGAGCCATACACTTCCGATTCAGGGGATTTCACAACCTCTTACGTCTATCGAAAGTATTTATATTGTGAGATAACCAAGAATATTGTAGCTAAAATTAATTGGCTCGATTGATGTGAGACGTCCCTAAAGCCAATGATCTGGAGCCTGCAGAAGCCCCCAGAAACCCGCAGAATCTGCTGGTTTCTAGAGCAAGGGCATAACATGTAGGTGAGGACACCTGATACTTGCCACGGTGGGGTGGGGGCGGACGTAAGTCGAATTTAAAGGCCACATCTCATTTCTATGAAATAGTATAATAGCTTTCTACGCGGACGACATCAGAGAGTATGCCACGGAAACATGGTGCATAAGTCGAGCTCAACGGGGCTATCGTCGTAAAATGGAACATTGTGCCATCTTCTGGATCGCTGGCAAATTCTGATGGAGATGAGGGTAGAGAACGAGGGCTTGCTTCTACTTACAGGCGGACCTCTGAGGAGTGTTTCGTATAAGACTTCCATAAACAGCGGCAACTGTGCCACGAAAAAATCGCCTATGTGTAACACGGGCAAGATGTTCTTAGATTTTCCGCATGTAACCATAGTGGACCTTCTTTGAATCCTCTTACGCTTCTGTTATTAACAAATTCTTTTCCCACTCGTGAGCATCGTTTTACAGGCTCACCCATTCTTAGCTGTTTTTAGTGCAAAAAGTCGGCAATCGAAATAAAGCAAGCAGAGTTGGGGCTTTTTAATTCGTTTAAATTCGAAAGCCGTTTCGCTATATCTGGCGGCTCCTTGTGGTAGTACGTTGCCTGATTGTGACTGCTAACTATGCCGGTTAGGCATGGCTTCATTAGGCTTCCCCATAAGACCAACAAGATGCTTCATCACGTCGGTCATCCTGTTTTCGTATTCTCATTAGTTTTCTTGGCCTGACGAGCGTATACAAGAAGGAGATGCGGTGACGAAAGATATTAGCTCACTGTTCTTTTTATTACTTCTCAAGCACTTACTCTCTATGTCAACATAGTAGTTGATGTCGCCTTGCTAATTTGCGCTTTGGTGTAGGCGCGAGAGAACGACGAAAAGAACCCGCCCCCTCACCCTCTATCCCCTCCCCCACCTCCCGTAGACCATACTACCATCACCATCTCCACATCCTCGTTTACTCCTCGTATTGTCATCGACCGGTGTCTAGTTGTTGCAACGATCAGTGCTCAGCTCCGCCTACTCCTCCGTACTCTGTCGCACGCAGCACAGCTGAATTCCACCTCTACTTCCTTAAAGGCTGAATTAATAAAAAGTCTACCTCTGAACTCGCATTATTGAAATAAAATTCCCTTTTCCTCACGAAGCATTTAAGCGTTTCAATAATATATTCAGATTTCTCATCTCTGTGTATTTTTCAGGAAAAATGATCGTGTTACTTTTCTTTCTCGGCATACTACCAAGTTCCAGGGCAATTTGTAAGTGCTTTACATTTTCACTTTTGCAGTATTCTATAGACAGCCTCAGTTACCTACAGTATTACCAGCTTTTTTGTGGAAGTATTGTTGATCGTTCATTCTACTGGAGGTTTTCTGGATTGAACGAATGTCAGTGTCGAGCTAAAAATAATTTGACAAATGATACATAATCGAATTGTCGCCATTTTATCGAAAAACAACGTGTTGTTAGTTACTGTAAATGTAATTGTATTAGGAGTTCTTGTTGTGTGGCCACGTTACCTTTGCTCTTGATTCTTAGCCATACATTTTTGGTAATCCCGGGGTTTCACCTCGGAGGCTACCGTAACCTTCTTATAAGTTAATAATTTAGCATCGACATGTTTCTATTTGCCGAATATTAACTTGAAAGGCGGTACTTATGATGAGTTCGATGCCAGTGATATTACTCAATGTTGTATACAGTGTGCAAGCCAACCGTGTTGTGCAGGCTATACCTATTCTAAGGCGCTGAAGAGGTTTGTGCCCTTTCACGTCATTTCTGACATTTTCTTACTTTCCTCTACCGCTTCCGTTAATTTTTTTCCGCCTGAACGGATGCTTTCGTCTGGGAGATTTTGACTCCAAAAACACTTGTCTCTTAATAACCTTGATGGTGGCCTATACAACGGTGGCGTTGCCATTTAGGAAACAGATTGAAGTCTACAGTTGGTATTTCAGGTGCTTTATGAAGTCATCGATCAACTACTCTGAGCAAGAGGACATGATGATCAGTGGCATTCGAGCGAACGCTAACGGAGGTCAGAATGTTCCTAACTCTAGCCCCCTCGTGCTTCAGCTCCTCGTAGATCCGCATTTCAAGAAGTCTCACATCATCTGGTCGACCTCCTCGCCGAGCCATTCATTCGCCTCGTAACTCACACGTCATTCACGTGTGCGAGTTTGCCGAAACTCATTCACTTTCACCTCAATTTCGCCGCATCGCTTGTTGATGTTTGCGAGGGAGTTCAACGCGCAAACGTCGTCTCATTAGAAACTCACGTATATCTAGGCAATTTATAGCGCGGGTAATACATTCATACGTGGGGATATGCAACGACAGGGATAAAAAAGCCTGAACCAGGAAATCTTTGCTCGGAGGATTGTTTTTCAAATAACCATCTCATTATAGCTGCAGGTGTCGGAGCGAAGATGAAAAATGTGAAAATCGAAGGAAGTGGCGGAAGTCGGATCACGCTCGAAAATTCGGATGAATGTCAGCAGTATTGTACAGGTAACTTACTAACTTCGCTGAATTTTCAAAAAATATTTCATCATTTATTCCTTTCTCTGAATTCTTCTACACGGTCAATCCCATTTGTAGGAATTTCCCTTTTATTATTTTTCAAGAATCGCTTTCAATCATTGTTTTGCTTGCTTTTCTTCCAATGCTAGCCAGGACAACAGCAGCCGAATTATCGTGGTGTTTTTTCCATCAACTAAAATTATCTCAAATCAATGTATCCTCAAAAACTCCATTCGTGGAACCTAGTCACTTCGCCGCGCGACGTGTTTTTTAATGACTCATGTCTGGCGCCGAAAATTATTTTTTAAATAGCGCAACTGTAATCAATTGTTACTGTTCTACGGTACCTGATCTTTACTTGTTAGTAATTAACTTGTGTACACGTGAAAGCGATCACAGTAAGTCCTGAGGCGCCAGACTGGGGATTCGTGAGGCGCCGTCGAGGGGTTCGGGTCGCACAGGGAGAGCGAAAAGGGGTAGAGGGCGCCAGCGCCACCATCACACCATTTCCGGCGCGAGAACCTGTCGGTACGACCATTCGCGACCGTTTCCGCTCGCTCCTATAATCAAATTAGAGACGCTCGTCCGCTTTTTGGGACGCACACGATTCGCGACATGATTTAGCGAAGGCAGTGTGTTTCACCCCCGTCGGGGATAACTGTCTGACTGAATCGCCCCGGTTGCGCGCGGCGCTAAGGGGAACGTCGATGCTTTGCGGGAAGTCGTGATGGATTGAGATAACCAGCAAATATCTCGCTTTTCTCTACTGTAATTGCCATTTGAGAAGTCTTACTTATGTCTTACTTTATTGATATAGCAACTAGCGTACTGAGAACAAAACGCAACACTAGAAAATCGTATAGAAAGAACATACCAAAGTATCCCTTAAAGATCACTTGTAAGCAATAAGGGTAGATGTTGAGTAACTCAACAGCTAAGCCTATGATTGCTTTAACACCTTACGACATAACAATTTGCTGAAACTGTGGATGATTGCGGAAACTTCTGAACCTTACGTGAGTCACATCTGTAACCAACATCCTGAGTTGACAGTTCCCCCCCCCCCCTGATATTCGATCCAGCCACATCAAGAACCCTGCAAGGGATGGCTATTTTCCCCTCAAAAGAGAGCTTACCAAGCGCCTAAATAATTTTGAATTCAATGGGAGTTCCCTGAACCAAATAATGAAGGCTCAAAATTACTTGCTTCATGAAATTTTTGCAATAATTTTCATTCTCTCACAGAATTGGAAGGGTTGCCGATGACCGACGGCTTACTGTTTGTCAAGAGCCCTGCAGTCACCTTTTGTGCGTTTCTTAGAGGCAGCTCAGAACAGGAAAGTTGGGATGGCAACTGTTAAGTTCACTAGCTAGCTATATTAATATCAACGAATTTCTGGTATTTCTGGTTTCTTCTGAAGTTTGCGCAGTGCTATGCTGAAGGTGATTTTGCCGAGGAATGGAGGGCAGCCACGAGCCTGAGGGCGTACTTGACCATCAAAATTCCACCAATGTTGGTGGTCTGGCTAGTACGTGCTTCGCAGTGATCTTAGAGTGCAGTAATTGCTCACAGAAGGTGAATGTCCTAGGGGACAAAAGCAAAATTTCAAAATTTTCGCCTGCCAAAAAAACGCGCATGTTTGCCCATCGTTTTGCACAAGAATTCAGCCGTCCCTGTCTAGGAAATTTTGGGATATTCGCGCTGCGGCTTAACGAAAATTGGGGGGCTCAGTTTGAAAAATCCTAGAAAATGCGAAAATATTATGTTGCTGATTAACGAGCTCATTTAGGCCTCTGAACTACATTTACGACCTGATTTCTTGCAGTTGGGCACCGCTTCAGCCGGAGAAGCTTGAAAATCCTTTAAAGTTCTCCTTTGTCGGAGAAACGCCCAGCAATCATCTTTTTTCGGAGAATAGGGAACTTTCCGAAGTATTAAAGCAAAGTGAGATCAAGATTCCAGGCTCCAAGTTCCCAGATCGAGTGGCAATACTTCAATGCCTTTTTGCACATGCATTTTCTCGAACATGAAAAAATATGCAGAAGTCACCGTTGGAATAAAACACTCCAAAAATAGCTGAAATAATGATCAATGAAGGCTCTCAACTAATTATTTATTTCCTAGAAAATCTAAAATGACATTTAATTCTTTTCTTCACTTCTCAACTCCGCTTTTTTCCGCACATTCCCCATAAAATAGGGATTATTGAGTAATTTCTCCGGACTCATGTCACGACCCAAATTTCGCTTGGAATCCGAATCCGAAGAGCTTTGCACAACTACTCTAGAATCAGTAACCATTTTTAACTCTTGAAGCTTTAACTACGGTAAGCGGTATTCAATGGTTATTTGGTGAAGAAGATTGGCTCGGAAATGCTAATAGAATCTTCATCAAATCTATTAATAGGCTTCCAGCGGAAAACAAAATTTGGGGAAATGATAAAAAACAAGAACTCATTCGTGTTTTTTTGTTACCGTATTTCATCCTGGAACTACGATCTGAAGTTTTTTTTCTTCTGGTTGCGGTTGATCTATACATCACCTTTCCAATTAGATCATAATTGCAATATTTACGTAACCTGGTGAATAGAAGCTTTGAAATTTACCTGAAACTAGTTACTTAATTATTAGATGTGCTATATACGATGGTACTTATTTATGAGAAATGAGAATCAATCTGGTATGCGCCACGCACTAGAGTCCTGCTCGGGATCGTTGCGAATTTTGACGCGGGCACGATGTACTTGGTGGTCTGCGCGTTTAACCTCCTAGACACGTCCACACCAATTTCCCATCCTGGAGGAAAGGGATCAAGTTGACCAAGGCGTCATTTGGCCGGAACTGAGTTTTGTACCCCCGTTGTGAGCAGCCACTACACCCATCCTCTTCCTCCTCATCCTTCTTTTTATTGGAATTTTCGTTGGATTAAATTGCCCTGAATTCTTGCTAAACCTAAAAAAGGGGGAACTTATTGCGCAAGGAAGCACTGCGTTAACCGCCATCCTTTGTTCCATATTGGATCATCTGTGTTGTTATTTCCAATCAAACGAGCTGCTTTCTGCCGTGAACCTCACCGCTTGCGGTTTTTCTGGCTTATCTCATAAGGCTCTGTTTTGATGGGAATGACCACTTTTTCGTGGAACATGATTTTCCTGGCCAATTCCTTTCTTCACACAGGTGTTCCTGTTCCTTTCACATCCATGCCCACGTTTGAATTCCATAAGAAAGAAGCTTTTCACCTGCGCTTAACATGCTTTCTCTACCCGGTTTGTACAGTGGTTATAGTAATCGAATAGTGATGTACGTATCCGACTTAGGTGCTTATTGCAGAACTTTTATTCTCACTTGATTAGCCGAAATTTTACTATATGTAGAATATAATAAAGTAGCCAATGCGGTTGCCAATAAATATTATCCAAAATTTAAACTTACGACGTAGATTTTGGCAGAGAATTTTCTATGAATTTTTTCTCCATATGCTCTCGTACGTGAGGAAAAACGTTGTAAAGTACGAGCAGGCCATATTCATCTGCATCTGACACGATGCTTCTTGTTGACGTGTGTTTGGTATGGGCTGTGGTGGTGAGGAATCGGCCGGGTGAACCCTCATACAACCTCCGCCCCCCTAGCTCAACAGAGAATTACTCGACTCACTCCCTACCTTGTCTAAGTTATTATGGATGTCTGAGAGACCTCATTTCACGAAAACACTTCCAACTCTTGATGGATCGCGCGTTCAGAATTTAGCCCAATGTAGCCAAGCCTCTCTTCTGAAGCTGTAGGCTTAATCGCCGTAGTGCCTTCTAATTTTGTATATTGTTCCGATACGACTTTGTTAAGATATATGTTTGTGCGTTTGTGTGTAAAAATTCCCTTTAAACCGACATAAGACCTTTTCATGAAAATACATGATTTCAAGTGGAGTCTTCCTGCTTACCACGGGATTCACTATGCGGCTCCGCTGTTGACACGGAATCGGTTCCTGGATTTCGATCATTGACCTAATCTAAAAAACGAAACTTGCTGGGTTCGATACCGCTGAGATAGAGCTACCTCTGCGACTCTACGTGGGTAGGGCACTTGGGCTTGCCATCTGGATCGGCGCAACCTTCACAGATCTGTACACGACCACCGTTGCGTGTCTGCGTTTCGCTTCTGGCATACTCTCCTCCTTCTGCTTGCTCTTTTCTCGTCTCGGTACATACTATTCATTGGACTATTTCTCCCCGAAAGCCGACAAAGCAGGGCTTCATTCAGGCGATTTCATTTCTTTTTCTCTTTTCTTCTACGTCAATCAACAATTATGTTTACCAATCAACAATTATGTTTTGTTGTTTATTCCATCTTTATCCTTTATTCCACCTTTATTCCATTTTTTTCTGTTTATCTCGTTTCTGCTATTGCGGTACCTCCCTTTAAGGCGTCAAGCAACGGAATTGTGATTTTTACAATATAATGTAAATAATTATGTGGATATTTCGCCACAAGAAATCTAGTCTATTGGTAAAATTTTAAAACGATGAAAACAGTTCCAATGTGCAGATTTTACTGCAATTAGAGGCTTGAGATCACCTTATCCTTGATTTTTCTATTTTTCCCACTGTTCCACAATGCTTCATGTGTTTCTCATTTCTACGCCATTCTGTTAATAAAGGCAACATCAAAAACAAAAATAAGCATGTTTTCGCAATAAATAGGTAAACATTAAGTATAAGGAAATGAAAGCAAATAAATAAGAACGGGTACAAAAAGGGTCACTGTTACCTGTCTTTCTGATTTTCAGAAAATCATGTGACTACTGTAGTTAAAAAATCTGTGCGGTTATTTAGCGAAAATGTCACTCTGGAGTTTTGACATTTCCAGTTGTTTACAGGTAAATTTATGACAGATGCTGTTATCTTAAACCGATTCAGTACTCTTCGCTCTAACGATTATAATTTCATAATCGACCAAATATCATTTATAGTCGAAGACTACTGTTCGAAAA